TTGCCACCACTTCCGGTGTATCACCGCTGGAATCTCGTGAGAGCCTGCTCCTGAATGTGATTGTGAAGAAACTGTGGGCGAACCCAAATGGATACTGTTTACAAAATGCATGGCCAGCCTCTTCCATGACTCCAAGATGAATGAACTCAAAGAAAGGAGGCAGGATGTTCTGTATCAAAGGAGACTGAGTCTGAGGACAAAGGGCAAAGTGTGGCTCTGGGCTGGTCTTGAGCCGGGAAGATGAACAAGAGAGGATCTTATCTCGGTAATTGATGAAAGTGTAATACAAACGGTTCTCTCTGTCCCCTCTTCCTTCCCCCCTCTCTCTCTCACTCTTTGGCTTTCACATACATGTGTGCACACGTGCACTTACCCAAACAGATACACCAAAAGAAAACACACTGAGATAAAAACAGCAGGTATGCAATGATTCCATGTTTTAAAATGGCCTATATACGTGTGTGTGTGTGTGTGTGTGTGTGTGTGTGTGTGTGTGTGTGTAAAATGAATTATGTGGAATGATCTTCATGACTCTTATGACTCAGGGTGGTGGGAATTTGAGCAATCTTACATTTTTTCCATTCATGTGCTATACCAGCTTTCAAGGTGCAGTATTACTTTAAAAACATATTGAAGTAACATTTTTTTTTATGAAAGGACAGAAAATTCGCTTGATCTAACTTGTTCATTTATATTTTGTGTATGAGTCCTCTTCATGCATACCTGCATGCTAGAAGAGGACACTAGATCTCATTATAGATGGTTGTGAGCCACCATGTGGTTGCTGGGAGTTGAACTCACAACTGCTGGAAGAGCCGCCAATGCTCTTAACCTCTGAGCCATCTCTCCAACCCCTGAAAAAATTATAAGAAATTTTCATATTAAAAATTTCCTGCCTTACCTCATTTTGTTTTTGTGATATGTTGAGTGTATTAACTTTAAACATTTTGCATTTTGATACTAAATGTTTCTAGAGATGCTGAGCATGCACACAAATATGGGCAGAGTCTCTGGGTTGGAAATAAGTAGGGTGTCTGATTTTCTGCAGGATTCTATTTGGAATGAAATGTCTTGTGTTTCCTTCAAAGTTCTATAGCATCCTCCTTGGACTCTGTCCCTTTGTCTTTGGTACCTGGCCACCTTGAGTGCACATCCATGCCAGCCCAGAGAGATGTACACGGAAAATCATGGCAAGATATCCTGGAACCCAAACATGTTGCCTTGCACAGTGAGTAGGGCAATCTTCCATGTTGGCCTGTCTCAAGGTATTCTGAGGACTAATGAGGAGGATTGTGGAATGCTTTGAGCTGCTCAGATGAAAGAAACCTCCAATTTTGTTTATAAAAACAACCCTTCTTGCTAGTGAGTCCACCCAGTCAGCCAAGACTGGAGAAAGACCACTGGCATCAAAGAGACCACCAACGAACGATACAAGGAGAGTAGCTGTTGGCTCTAAGTGCCAAAGATGGTGACGGCCTGGTGGCTTGACTTGAGGTGGGTGATCAAACTGTACATTGGACAGAAGGGCAGCAAGTGCTCTTTACTGTGGAGGTATCTTTCCACCCCCTCGATATAATTATAAAACAAATAATTCCTTTTCTTTTTTATGGAAATGCCAAATATAAAGGTAAGCACACATGATGGGGAAGAGTGGATCCTCTTACTCAGCTTTGGATAGACCTAGTCTAGTGTCCACACCCCTGAATGGCCCCTTCACCTTGCAACCTGTGATTTGCTCTCTCACTAATAGAACCTGTGCATCTGACTCTATTGTATAGAGCCTGCTTGCTGGCAGACTTTCTTTGTTGGCTTAATGAATTCTGGGAAATGCCAAGGTGATAAGGAAGTACAGGTGACCTCTGGGAGCTGCAGATGCCCTCTGGGAGCTGTGGACAGTTTCCAGTGGTCAACCAGCAAGAAGCTGGGTGCTGTCCTACACATGCACAAAAATGAATTCTGCTAATCGACCTGAATGAGCTTGGAAGTGAATTCTTCTCCAGGTCATGAGAACACAGCCTGGTCTTTACCTTGATGGTGTGGGCAGCAGGCTCAATAGACCCAGATACCTGAACCACAGAGGCTGAGGTACACTTGTGCTAAAGGCCCTAGGTTCGCGATAATTTGCAGTAATGGGTAATTAGACACAATTACATTCCATAATGTCATCACTTTCTGAGAGTTCCCAGGATTGTTCCTTCTAGCTCCTTGTGTGTGGGAGGTGGATGGGCTGGAGTGTCTAAAAGCACAGTCTAGTTTTCCTATCATTTCACTTGCAAATACTTTCAGTATGCATCTCTAAAGGATGAGGACTTTTCAACAGTGCCAGATGCAAAAAAAAAAAAAAAAAAAAAAAAAAGAAAAAAAATCCAGTTTAGTTGAGAAGAAGAGTGGGCAAGTACTCTACCACAAGCTATGCTCCGAACCCCTAGAGAGGGTGCAAAGCCACCAAGACAATAGATATAACCATCAGCTAGAGGGTAGGAAAAAATAAAAGCTTTACTTTGAATGCCAGAGAAACACCAGTGGTTTTTCTTTTTCAATAGCACAGTTAGCAAAGCACTGTAATATGCTTGTCTGCCATAAATATCTCAAATAATTCAAGGCTAGTTCCAATTGTCCATGTAAGATCCTAAGCTGGACTTGGTGGAACATGTCTGTAATGCCAGCATGTAAAAGGCCGAAGCAGAGAATCGGGAATTGGAGACTAACCTATGCTACTGTAGTGAGAACTTGTTCCCAAAATGCATCCACCCACTCATTAAACAAAGAAAAAGCCCTATCCAGCCCCTAAGAATCGCGTTTGCTTTTTAACTTCCTGTGATTCCATGTCCTATCTTACTTCCATTCCTATTCCCACCACTTCCCAGCTGGTTGCATTCTTTTCCGCTTTTGAGTAGCCAAGCTTATCTCCCTTTGACACTGCGCACTGAGGCGTGCTTTGTGAGGGAAAAAACTGAGCTCTGGGTTCAGTGCCATCTCTATCACTGGCAGCTTTGTGGTGTCGGGCAAGCAGTTTCTTTGAGCTGGGTACAATAGTGCATCGCAGGGTTGTGGTGAGCATTACCCTCACCACAGTGAGGCGGGCAGTGAGCAGGTGCCCAGCCCTCAAAGAGAAAGCACCTTTCCCAAAGCTGCCTTTGTTGCTCTCCAAACGCTGAGCACCAGGACGTCCAGTACCTTGCCTCCCCCCCCCCCCCGCCTTCGTCGCAGGGGATGCAGGGACTTGTAGTTTTAGGTCCCCAAGTCATGTTTCCTCTCAGAGCTGGACAGCGTGAGAAGGAACTACATATCCCAGCGGGCTCCGAAAAGAAAGTAGGGCTTGGAAAATCGGGCATAGCTGCTTGGTATCTCTTTGCTCCCGGTTACCCTAGTGCACAGCCCCAGTAAACGCTCCCACCCGGCAGCGATGCTCAGGAGCGCAAAAGCGCGTAGGTGGCTGAGGCTCTCTGGCACTCAGCTTGAGCCCTTAGGTCCATCTGACTGTGAAGCTGGGGTGGAGAGAGAGGCACTCCGAGAGCATCCTCTAGATAGGCGGTCCCTTTACTGTGTGGGGGCTCCACAGGGGGCATTGTGAGCATCAGTGGGGGAGAAGTAGAGGAGGAAAGATGGGGGAGGCAGTGACCCCAACAAAGCCTGCCACAAGGGGCTTTTAATCCGAAAAAGGGACCCAATCGGTTGCTGTTGGAGTGGACACAGACCGCCCTGCCATCCCCTGCCCTGCGAGGTCCCGAAGTCTGGGCCGCTGCTCATCAATCTGTCATCAGGCATTCAACCCTTCCACTGGGCATCAGTAGAGTTTCCCTGGCATCTCGGCCACGCGTGGCGCTGGGGAGGAAGAGGACGAGCCAGGGTCAGGCCAGGGAAGGTCACTCCTCCACGCCGAAGGGTACTCGGTCCCCGGTAGTTGCAAGAACGGTTTTGCGAGTGTAGCCCTGAGGACACACGTGTCCCGAGGCGGCAGCTGCTGCCGGGAATAACCCGGAGAAGCCTGTAGCGGACAGAAGTCCGCGGGGAGCGCATGGCGCCTCAGCACCGAGGGCAACGACCCGATCGCTCCTGGGGCGAAGGATGTCACCGGGAGCCAGGCGCCTTCCTCTGGGCGCGCCAGGCCTGCCCAATCCTGGAGCCCTGCGCTCTGGCCCGAGGGGACTGGGCCAAGGGACCCCGGGGAGCCGGTGCCCCGGCTTCGCCGGCGAAGAGGAGGAGCAGAAGGAGGAGCCCGGCTGTGAGGCGCGGGCGTCGCCGCCCACCCGGCCGCGAGGAGGCGGACCTGCTCGGAGCGCCGCGCGAGCGCCGGGGCTGAGCCTTGCAAACAAGTGTCTGTGGCAGTGTCCCCGCGGCCCTCCGGCGGCCCTCATCGAGCGAGGGCTGGCTCCTCCGGCAGAAGGAACCGAGGAAGCCCCGGGAGCCGCCGCCTCCACTCTCGGCCGGGAGCCCCCCCGTGCAAGGGGCGGCGGACTCTGCAAGGCTGCTCGGCTTGTGGCCGCGGGGTCGCAGCACGGGCAGCGCCCCGGCTCTTCCCGAACAGCTCCTGACAGAATAACGCGCGTGGCTGTCCCCACCCCTGGGAGGGGTTGCCGGTGCCGCGAGCTGCCTCCCAGTTTGCAGCGCTCTCCCCTGGGAGGATCCGCCACGGAGAAGGAGTAGAAGCCACCTGGCCGAGGCGCAGAAGTGGCTCTGGAGGGAGCCGGCGTGGGGTCCGCAGCCTCGTGTCCCCCACCCTGGGCGCGGCGATCGCGGATCCGCGGGCCGGAGCCCAGGCGCAGCCGGGAGCTTGCTGGCGGCGGGGCCAGGCGCACCGCGATTTGGGGGTCTGCTGAACGGTCCCCCGCGCCCGACGGGGTCCTGTAGCCCCTATCCCCGGGCTGGAAGCCACGGAGAACCGCTGCCGCGGGCTGAGGGCTAACACCGTCCCTCCCGAAAGCGGATTCTGCTATGACAGCTGGGCTTCCCAAGGGGTTAACCTGGGTGTCCTCGGCAAAGTTGTCGCCGAGCCGGGAGCCCGTTTAGGGGTCACAGCGCCGCGGCTCGGGGGCCGGCCGGGTGGCCGGCGGCGGCCGTGGCTCGGCGGGACCCGCGGGGCCGGGGGGCTCCTGGGGGTGTGCGCCCCCAGCCGGCTGCTCTCGTGGATGCCTCCCGGCGGCGGCGGGCCCATGAAAGACTGCGAGTACAGTCAGATCAGCACCCACAGCTCCTCCCCCATGGAGTCGCCCCACAAGAAGAAGAAGATCGCGGCCCGGAGGAAATGGGAGGTGTTCCCGGGGAGAAACAAGTTCTTTTGCAACGGGAGGATCATGATGGCCCGGCAGACGGGCGTCTTCTACCTGACGCTCATCCTCATCCTGGTCACTAGTGGACTCTTCTTCGCCTTCGAGTAAGTGGTGGCTTCCAGATGCCATCCTCCCCTCGTCTTCCCCCCGGCCTCTACTTTGGCGACTTTCGTTTTCTGGTGTATTTTGTTATATAATGCCAGCCCGCTGCTCTCCTTGTTTTCCCTTTAAGGGGCTGTTTGGTTTTCAGCCCCCCCCCCCCCCGCCCCGGAATAACGACTTGATGGGCATGGATCCTTGGGAATAAGGAAGAGGGGAATGGGGACAGGTGTAAGCTGTACCAGGTCACCAGCTCCAGAGCATTGGGTGGAACCAGGCAGGTGGATTCCCTCCTGAGTTTGGAGCTAGCACATCAGCCCAGGTACAGCCTTCTGGGGGAGAGGAGTGTGGGGATTTCTAAGATAGGGGTCGACAGACCTGACTTATCCCCACCCCCCTGACCCCTACCCAGCCGCTAAGGAAGTGTGAGGCATCTTCTTAAGCCTAGTTGGCTAAATCAGTTTGCAGATCATGAGGAATCTTAGTTAATTTAGGTTGAAAGTGTTGATTACCTACAGTGTCCTGCGTGGGTAATTTCATTTTTCCTTCTCCTTGTACTCCTGATCACCAGCCTTTTCGCTTACCAAGGGTGGAGCGTTTGCCCTCTTTACTTTCAAAGAAGTTCCCATAGAAAATATCTACAATAGATCACTCGGGAACAGGTGAAAGATGTGAGGCCTGGAAAGGAGAACAGGGCACCGCATGGCTCCTCCTGATTCCAGAAACAACACTTGGGGGGGGGGGACGTGTGAGTCTTTAGGAACATCAAATTGGGCATAGCAACCATCCTTCTGCCCGCTGAAGAAAGGTCTCATTTATTAGTAGCCATTAGGTAAAGAGTTTAGCCATACTCCAAATTGATATCAGTTGTTCTGATTGAGTTCAAAATTTGCAGCTTCTCACCCCTCCCCCATTCCGTGCTTAATAAAAAGTTACAGCCTCTATCCAAACTTTTAAAGAGGAGCATGTTTCTGGGCAGATTTTTCTCCGAGCTGCCCACATCCCATCTATTACAGGCATGATAATGCTTTCAGCCCTTGCCGAGTCTTCCGGCTAGGGTAATCTAAAACCTACGATGCTTGTTTAGTTTTGTCTTTAACAAGTGCTAGGCTCTGATTTTGATGCCCCCAGCTTTTGCTTATTTACCCCTGACAGCCCCCTGCCCTCCATTTCTGATTTTTGGATTGCCCAGGTGCCTCTTTGTTAACCTTTGTGGGTGTTTGAGACTACATTGGTGGCATCTGGCGGTGGTGGTGGGGGGAAGACCTGTGGGCTGGAGGGAAGGGATCGGAACTTCGTGTAGAATGCCAAGGAGGCATCGTCTGTGGAGCCCCTGTTGTTTCCTTGGGTGCCCAGCCAGCCAGCCTCTTGTCCCTGCTGACTGGACTCTGGAAACTGGGGAAAGGGGTACAGAGGCTCCTGAGGCATTCTACATCAGAACCAACACCCAGGAGGGAGTAATGATACCGCATGTTGGTTGGAAATGCCACCTCCTTTGCAGTGGCTTTGGTTACAGGTGGCTTTAGTTGGAGAGCATTCACTGTGTCTCTGTTGTCACAAAAGGCTTCAAGTGGATTCGTATTGGCATTTTAACTCGTTTGGGGGATTCTAAGAGTGGAGACAATTAGATAATCTTCGTGACAGAGTTGCAGAGCGTCCGTTGTGAGTGTGCCGCACGCAGGGTGGTGAATAATCACTTTTGATGCATATCCAAATCTTCACTGTGTGGTTAGGGACCCCCCCTGAGTTATTATGCTCTATCTTTTATTTTCTTTCAGCATACATCCTTTTTTATTTCTCGATCTCTGTGTGTGTGTGTCTTTCTCCAAGAGTTCCCCAAAGTCCTCACTTGCAGCTTGTTAGGATCCTCTGTTGTACCACCGTTGTGCTAGCTGAGGACGGTAGGGATCGCCGTGGGCTCTGGGGTTTTATTAGATCCTATTTGCAGCATCATTTTTATGCCCGCTCTATGAGAGTCAGGGTGTGTGTGTGTGTGTGTGTGTGTGTGTGTGTGTGTGTGTGCATGTTTACTCTCCACCACCAGTGTTGCTTACTAGGCAACCTGAAGCTTCAAGAACGTAAGAGACCCATCCTCGAGTTGTGCCTCAGTTGAGAAAAATCAGGTTTATTTAGACCCCGGACTGCTATGGTTTGACTAGGTTTTATCATTGTATTCCATTGCTGTGTCATGGGCACTGACACTGTTTTACCTTTTAAATCACTGCTAGAGACAGAATGAGATCAAACTACTCTAACCGAGTTTATTTGCTAGAGACTCAAAAGCCAGTTAGCCACACACATAGGAAATGTGATCAAGAGGAAATGCCAATATTATTCGTTCCTGCCCATCTTTCTCCTGATCGTTCTTTATGGAGCACATACTCCGTGGTTCCCTATTTTGAGTGTTTGGTTTCATGTCTCAGGAACTTTTCATGTGAACAGTCGTGTTTGGCTTATCATTATGGTGAAAGACCCTGGAAAAATGATTGAAAGGAAGAAAGGCGCGTTTTGGTTCACAGAGTCAGAGGCTTCAGTCTCTGTGTGTCTGACCCATTGCTTTCACACCTAAGGAAAAGAAAGGATGACATGCCGGCAGGGCCATGTGCTTGAGGAAAGCTACTTACCTCACGGCAGTTAGGAAGCAGAAAGAGAGAGAGAGATGGGCCCCCACTGGACCTCCTTCCTACGACAAAGCCTCATCTCCTACCACCTCCCAAGGATGCTACCATATAAACCCACCCTTTGCCCTCCGCATTCCCAACCTGGAACAGATGCATGAGAAAGTGAAGCCGAGAGAAGTGGACTTCCCAGAGTTCAGCAACAGGTCTTGGTGGTGACGTCAGCCCCTGGAGAATGGCAGAGTAGAAATGATTATTCCCACGGGAGAGATGAAGAGAACCATCACAACACTAGCTGAGGGAAGGCTGCTGAGCTCAAATCCAGTCCCCCTTAGGCTCACACCCATCCTGTTTTCTGCAAAGTGTACAGTCTGGCTAGAAGCAGAACTTTTGGAAATGCAGATCCTAAACTTCTTTCCAGCAGTATGACACTCAATAACTGGTCATTTTAAATAAACTGTTGGTTAGGGTTTATTATTATTATTATTATTATCATCATCATCATCATCATCATCATCAAATTGACACTACCATGGATCACCTAGGAAAAGGAAACCTCAATTGAGGGATTGCCCAGATCACATTGACCTGTGGCCTTGTCTCTGAAATGTTGTCTTAATTAATGATCAGTGTGGCAGGGCCCAGCCCACTGTGGGTGGCATCATCCCTAGGGCAAGTAAGTCTGGGCTATGTAACAGAGATAGCTAAGCAAACCAGTGAGTGAGCAGGTGAGCAGCATTCCTCCATGGTTTCTGCATCAGTTCCTGCTTTGATTTCCCTCAACAATGGGCTGCAATCTGTAAGTGTAAACTGAAAATAAACCGGAAGGTGCTTTTGCAGTGGTTCTCAACCTGTGGGTCTCACCCCCCCCCAAAAGACCATCTCAAAGACACAGCTATTTACATTACGATTCATAACAGTAGCAAAATTACAGTTATGAAGTAGCAACAAAAATAATTTTATGGTTAGGGGATCACCACAACATGAGGAACTATATTAAAGGGTCTCAGCATTAGGAAGGTTGGGAACCGCTGGGTTAGAGTGTTTTATCACAGCGACAGATTCTAGGCTATGTCAGGTTGAAAATGAAAGTCAGCACGCCTCGGCTTCCAAAATCTATAAAGCGGGCTTTATAATATCTACCTTTAAATGTTAGTATTAAGGGGACAATATTCTCAGGATGGTGTCCGGTGTGGAGCAATGCTGATTGCATGGTATATCTTGTTAGGTTAAACCTCCCAAGGAGGCTGCCTACCCTTTGAGAGTCTTCAGGACCCGAGCATGTGGGTTAATAAGCGAGCGTGTTGAGAGAGCATTATTAGTACTGGGAAAATGTGGTACTGTGCAGTCCCTCCTGAGAACAGCGACCTTTATAAAAGTCCCCAGAGCCCCTGTCAGCGGTGTCCTGGATCTCACCCCTGCAGAGTGGGCGGCCTGCAGGAGTGCTGGAAGAAGTGTCCCAGTCCACACCCTGATTCCATCTCCGTTTCTGGAGCTCTCTCATCTTAGAAGTGTAAACCAGTGAAGAAGCTCCAGAAGCAACCAGCTGTAACACTGCTCTTTCCAAGCAGGTCAGGACTGCTTATCTTTTTGGCTGCCTGTATTGAACATATGGAGCGCTGGTGAGAGATGACAGCGTTTCATAGCTGGCATTTAAGAGGGGAGGAAGGGATGCTGACGGCAGCACCGTTGAGACATCTCACCGCCCCTTGTAGTTACTAAGGGTCTCCTCAAAGACTGCAGTACCACCATTGCCACAGCCGCAGAATGGGATTTGAACACATGTATACAGGCAGCCTCCTATTTTGCCATGGCTAAAAATCTGAAAGTGAAAAACCTTTGTTTCTAGATATTGGGGTCTCATAGTTCTTCTCACAGGGGTAGAAAGAGGAACCTGAATAGGAAGCCAAGTGAGGGTCTTGTTTCAGGGTTCTCATGTGAGACGAGTGGAGACTTGCTAAGATCCCAGCATGACTGTGTCTCCTTGTGACAGGCTGCAGTTATTGCTGGGGTCCAAATGTGAGAACTTGGGAACATTCTCGGAAATCGTCGTTGCTAGAAGTCCATTGATGTTTGCTTCAAAAAGCAGTGTGGGGCCAACGAGATGGCTCGGCACATAAAGGTGCTTGCAGTCGAGCTTGACAACCCGTGTTCTGTCTCTGTGACCCACATAGTTGGAGGGAACTGACTCCTGCAAGTGGCTCTGTCCTCCAAAATGCATGCCTTGGCATGCACAGACACACACACACACACACACGCACGCGCACACACACACAGGATAAACAAATCCTGAAAAGTAGTGTTTTCGTTTTTCTCTATCCTTTCTCTGCCCCCTCCTTCCGTAACCCTCTCCTCTGGCTTCCTCCATCTTTGGTTGACTTCTTTTC